TCCCCCTCTTTCCTTTCTTTTTTCTATCTTTTTTTTTCGTTTTCTTTCCTTTCTTATTTTTTTTTCTTCTTTCATTTTCTTTCCTCTCTTATTCTTTTTTTTTCTTTTTTCTTCTTTCTTTTTTTCGTTTTCTTTCCTTTCTTATTCATTTTCTTTTCTTTTTTTCTTTTCTTTCGTTTTTTATTCATTATTTTTCTTCCTTTTTTTGGTTTTCTTTCTCTTATTTTCTATCCTTTATCATTCATTTCTTTTCTTCCTCTTTCTTTCTCTTTCTCTCGCCTCCTCCTCCTCCGTGAGAACTATCGCTTGAATCCCCTTCGGCGCAACAAGCGATCCCTGGCCACTTCGTTAGCTTGCGTTCCCGCCCCGCCTTCCGCAGACGCCAGCTCTCCTCTCTGGAAATTCCTCCTAATAAGATCTTTTAAACCTTCCTGGAGGGAGATAGATGTACCTGGAGGGATGTGTGTGTGTGTGTGGGAGTGTGGGAGTGTGTGTGTGTGTGTGTCTTTGCGTGTGTATGTGTGTGTGGGTTTACATGTCAATTTGTGTGGTGTGTGGTGTGTGTGTGTGTGTGTGTGTGTGTGTGTGTGTGTGTGTGTGTGTGTGTGTGTGTGTGTGTGTGTGTGTGTGTGTGTGTTGCGTGTGTGTGTTTGTGTGTGTGTGTTTGCGTGTGCATTTGTGTGTGTGTTTGCGTGTGCATTTGTGTGTGTATTTGCGCGTGTGTGTGACACAATCTACCACCACAACCGACAAACACCCAAAGCCCTCCGCCGCAGCCACGAGCGCCGCCCCTGACGAAGCAAGCGGAGTCCCCCGGGATCGCCACGTGGGGGGATTGATCACTTTCGGCGAGACGAGACCTTGGCCTCGACTCGGTAATTAGCCGTCTATTGATCAGGGTTTTTTCCCTCAAGATGCTCCTCCGGCTCTTGCAACAGACACAAAGACTGGCAGGATGTTATGCCCTTTCCCCGCGCTGCGCCTCTTGAACAATGCTTCGAAATATCTGGTAATCATTTTATTTAGATATCGCGTGGGTGATTAGTCGCTAAGAATCTCTCTAAATCAGAACGAATTATCAAAATGAGTAACATTAGTTCGAAATATCAAATGATTTTTTTTTTTTTTTAATCACATGGGTGATTAGTCTTCAAAAATCTCTAAAACAGAACGAATTGTCAGAGTAAAAAAATAGAATGCAATTATAATCACTAATAAAATATCCCAAACCAGACCTTTCTGAAACCTGCAAGTTCAATCATCTTTCCAAATTTCCATCCTTTATTTATACTCCTTCAAGTCAACCGTTCGTTGAAATGCCTTTTCTCAATAAAACTGATTTATATGAATAAAACGTCCTCTCAGTCATAGGAACCTTCAGCTCAATAATTCTAAAACGAAGCACTGCTCTTTTCTTCTCCACAGTATATATTTCCCGTAAATAAACACAACTATCAGCGCTACACTTAGTAATTCCCTTGTTTATCACGTCTTCTCTCCATCCTCGGTTTATCGTCGTCCACCCTGTCTTCGTAAATCGTGCGTCTTTTGTTTCGGGAATCGTCAGCTGTATTCGCATTTCTCCTTAGCGCGCCATTTTTCCCTCCCCAAATGGAGCTCCGAACCCATTTTTCGTTCGCGTCCGGCCGCGGTTCGTTCGCTCCGAATCCGTGGTTCGTTCGCTCGACTGATCGAACGATACTCTATTTTTACGTTCACCTGTGCTTCTTCGTACGTTCAGAGAGAGAGAGAGGGGAGAGGGAGGAGGAGGAGGGAGGGAGGGAGGGAGGGGGGGGAGAGAGAGAGAGAGAGAGAGAGAGAGAGAGAGAGAGAGAGAGAGAGAGAGAGAGAGGAGAGAGAGAGAGAGAGAGAGAGAGAGAGAGAGAGAGAGAGAGAGAAGAGAGAGAGAGAGAAGAGAGAGAGAGAGAAGAGAAAGAGAGAGAGAGAGAGAGAGAGAGAAGAGAGAGAGAGAGAGAAGAGAGAGAGAGAGAGAGAGAGAGAAGAAAGAAAGAAGAGAAAGAGAAAGACAAAGAGAGAAGAGAGAGACAGAGAGAGAAAGAATAAGAGACAGAGACAGACAGAGAGGAAAGAAACAAAAAACCACGTTCGGTAATGAGAGAGCAGAGGAACAGGTGAAGCGACAGATCGTGCAAACAGAGCGGAGCGACAGCGCCTTATCAAGTTGTAAATCCGGAGAGGCAAATAAAGGTGTCCGTAGGAGAAGACGGCGCGGATCTCCTTCAAGATAGAGGATTTTAGGAGTCCTTTCTCCGGCAACGTGCGTTTTGCCTGCGCGGTTTTACGCCGGCAGTTTGAATTATAGTTAAGTGCCTTTTTATGGAGTAATTACTTGATTTTACGCTAATTCACACACACACACACACGAGCCAAAAGTACACCAAACACAGACTCGATACATAACCAATAAACCCATCTATTTCGAATAGGTGACCGAAGAAAGAGTGAGGCAAGAGAGGAGAGAATAAGCGTTTGCCTCAGCCGGGGACGGCACACTTTCCGAGAAATCACTGACCCTGATCCAAGTCTCCGCGGGACGCAAGGGTTAATGGCGATCCTGCGCTGGTGTCACTCCCCTCCCTCCTCCCAACGTGGCACTCCCTCCTCCTCCACCTCTGCCCCCGTGGCACTCCCCCTCTCCCTCCT